AAAAAATTTAAATAGCTTACAGATTTTAAATTATTACTTTAAAATCTGTAATCCCTTAACCAATAAAAAGGTAAACAAATATGTCTTTTCCAAAAACAAAGACTTTTAAGTAAAATTAAAGAAAAGTAAGAAAAGTAAAATAATTAGTAAAATATAGAAAAGTCGACTTTAAGATTTTATGTTTTTGGGCCGGGACAGGTTTTAGGCATAACCTAGAAAAACTCGAAATAAACGTAAACAAAATTGTTTACGTTTTTTCACACAGAACTCGCAAACAAAAGTAAATAATTTTGTTTTAAAATCCTCTCAAAAAAAAAATACTTAAAAAAACTTTTTAGCTAAGAAATGGTTGTGGACAAATGTAGTAATTTTATTTTATTACATTACTTGTTTTACACATATCATGGAAGTATAAAACAGATGGAAATTAATCAAGTCGCAAATATCAAAGCAATTTCAAGTCCCCTCCGGAGGATGCTTTTAACTGGCAATAAAAAAAACGAGTTTCACTGGACAGAAAACAACAAAAAATCACTAAAATGATTTTCATTAAAACATTTAAAATCCTTTTATTAAAACATTAAAAATCATTTAGAGGATACATAGTTTTAACAATTAGTTATTTAATAAAATGTTAAACTCGGTAATAAATTGAATCACTTTAAAAGCATATGTTAGTTTAATCTTCTTTTCTTGCTTTAAATCATAACACGACATTTGATTAAAAAGACAATTAAGACAATTTTTAAAAAATCAAAAAAAAATGTTTTTTAAATTATCAAAGCTTAAAGTTTCATCTTGTGTATATCATAATTCCATTCATGCCTTTCATACTTATTCATTTGATTCATCCAGTTGGAATCACGTGACTATATCGCGAAATCAAAAGTAATCATATTGACACCGGGTAAAACAAACTATTCTTTCTTATAGGCGAAGTCAAGAAAGCGTTATTTAACAATAACTTAATGTCCTACTATTACTTTAAATGTTAATTAAAAGAAATAGCGGAACTATGTCTGCAAAACATAAGTCTTTTAGGTGATTTTATTCTTTATTTTTACATACTTTAAATCTCTGTTTCAATAAAATGATGACTTACATTGCAGTCTACATATTTTATTAGTTATTTTAGTGTATAAAAAATACTGATATTTTGATATTTATTTACCAACACTAAATTATGATGTAAATTAAAAGTAATCCACCGGTAATAAAGTGTGTCGAATAAACATAAACATTAGAGAATTTAGGAGATCAATGCTTGCTACATGCACCACCATCTACAGCATAATTTATCGTATTCAACCACTTTCTTCGAAGTACTACATTTTTAGAAAGACTTAGGTTCTTGATTTTTTATTATTTTTTTAGTGCAACCACTGCACAACAACTTTTTAGCATTAAAAAAAAATCATAATATCAAAACAAACTGCAACGATTTTTAAGTTTGCTTTTCCCCAATTCAAGATGGTTAATTTTAAAGCAATACCTTTTAAAACGTAGTGACGTTGCGCCGACTGGATAGATACAAAGTGAAGGAAAAACGTTGTTATTTGTCGTTACATTGTCGTCATTTTATTGTTTTTACATAAAAATAATAGTCTGGAAACACCGGCCGTTTTTAATAGTTTTTATTGCTTAAATTGAAAATCGGGTGGTACGTGTGAATAAGGTGCAAAACAAACTTTTAAGATTTTTTATTCATTCTTATGACTATGGTTTTTACTTAGCGATCCGTCAAAATATCATATTTTATAATTATTAAGATTGTACCAATTATTTGCGTCAACGTAGTGTTTAAGTACAGTCTTAACGTCGTTTTCTATTTGAATACGAAACAAAAGGTTGCTTAATCCCGAAGCATTTCAATGCGGTTGAACTTCCATCTATTTATTCTTCCTTGCACATAAGCACCTGCTCCATTTTTGTGAAAAACTTTTGTTTTAGATTTCTATTGTTCTAAAAATTTAAACCTTTTTAGAGAACAAAAATTTATTAAGTAATTTAAATAAATAGTATAATAAACGTTTCAACGCTCCCAAACATAAATGAGGTTCAAGATGCAAAATGGTAACAAAGTAACAAGTTGTAGAAAGTTATTACAAGAGCTAAATAAATAAAATAATAATTAAAAAAAAAAAAAACCATTTTGATACTCTCATAAATTTTGAAAAAAAAAATTTCGAATGATATTTTAAACTTGAAAAAAAATTTAAAGAAAATTCGTTAGATTTAAAATTAGCAATTTTTGATAATTACTTATGTAATAAAAATTAGTAAAAATATTATGTTTCTAATAACTTTAATATTCTCACACTGCAACATATATATATATATATATATATATATATATATATATATATATATATATATATATATATATATATATATATATATATATATATATATATATATATATATATATATCAGTTACAGCCTTGATGTTCACATTTTTATTTTAACTTTTTTTCATATTTGTTTTTTAACTTTTTTTTTTTTTTTACTCATTACCCATACAATAAATAATTAAAGTTTTAAAAATTGAAAAAAACCATGAGCTTAAATCTATATTAAAACAAATTTAAGACAACTAAATTCCGGATTTTTTCAGCATTTTTTTCCAAAATGTTTTCTGGATTTTTTAAAACATGACCTAGAGAATCACTGTCTTTAAATGCAAGAAGCTTAATACCTCCTGCCTGGTATTGGGCTCGCTGAGCTTCAGTAACTATATTTTGATTTTTGAACTCATATACCAACTATATATATTAGGTATGCAAAATACGTTTCATTTTAATCTGTTCATATTATATATTTATACAATTAAATTATACAAATGCACATATTTATCATTTTCACAACTAGAGTAATGGGTAGAAGGCATCGTACCCTCGATGTTTTTACTCAAGAAGAAACCTGATTTTAAGGTCAAATTTTCACTTACTTTAACTTACTTTAAATGTCTTATTTGCAACTTATTACATTACTATATTTTAGGTAACCCGCAAGTAGAAATATAGATATACAATGTATATGTATATATCTATATCTGTGTACTAAACATATATATGTGTGTAATACATATATTTTTCTGTCTATATATATATATATATATATATATATATATATATATATATATATATATATATATATATATATATATATATATATATATATATTTTTTTTTTTTTTTTTTTTTGCATACATTAATTGGCTTAAGCCAATTATGTGTATATTAACATATTGCACCTTCTAACATTGTGTGCAATCCTGTCCGCTTTCTGTATGCTATCTTTCTAACACGACTTCTGTCTTTTACTCTAACATTCTTCGTTCTTCCTAAACTAACTTTACTCTTGGTCCGTAGAGCAGGTAATGACGCTATTTATTAGCTGAACTTGTCTTAGCGGTCCTTGGTAATGTGGCCTCCGTAAGGCAATTAGCTGGAGGAGGATAAACCACAATACCTATATTTTTCTGTCCGTTCCTCTAAAAAAGAAGCACTGAGTAAATACTTTTCTGAAAAGGGGCGGCAGAACAAATAAGTTTGGAATCACTATACTAAACAACAGATTAAAGTTATACTTATAACTATAATGTGTTTTCTTTAAACAAATTTAAAAACAAAGCAAGATTATGTTGATAATTAAGAAAACATTGATAACTTAGATATTTATTGATAAACAGCAATAATTGATTACACGCTTAAGATAAATTTGATTAAAAAAGTTCTTCGGTTTTTAAATTTTTATAAAATGCAAGTGAAGTTTTACAAAGTTAGTTAATTTTACCCGGTTTACTATTTTTGCTTTAAAGTTTGCGTTTATAAAAATATGTGTATAAAATGAAAGTTATATCATTAGAGTAAAAAGGCGGCAAATTTTCTCAATTTGGGTTTGCTTAAAAGTCCTTTTATCAGAAACTACGGCAGGCAAGTTTTTGATCTTTGTATCCCATTGAGGAGATCTTAAACTTCAATTGAATTAACATTTAGTTGAAATTGATAAGAAAAACAAATAAATGATATTAACTATATATAGCTTTTCATAAACTTTGAAATCAGTATGTACATTCCAGATGTTGTTTCTATAGCAATTTCTATTTGAAATATAAGTTAATATTTCGCTCACTTTGTTCAATTTGTTAAATAAAAAATATATACAAAAGCTTAAATAAAAGCAAACATATAAATAACAATAAACAATAAAAATTGCACCTAGCAGCGGTAGAACTATCATTAACAACAACAGAAGTATAAGTTGTAGTAGTAAATTGTCGTTACATTACATTATAGTAAACATTTAAATAAAAACATAGCAACAATGTATTGCATAAACATACAACAAAACTTAACATAAACATTTACGATCGTGATTAAGAAGTCGTTATTTACAAATGCTTTTCGTAAAATAGTTAAAAAAAAAAATTAACGAGTTACAAATTTAAAAAAAAAAAAATCTTCGAGAAATTTTTTTTTTGTCATGGTTTCTTGAATTTGTCACAAACAAGCTGGAAATACGTTGTTAATGAAATAATTAAGAAAATATATTTGACTTTATAAATATTCTTTTTCCGTTTTAAAGTCGCCTTTTGATAAATAAAAATAGCATTTTTAGAGTTAATTTATCGCCTTTAGTAAGCAATATATGTAAATACCTAAATAAATTTGAATTAAACCGCTGAAAAACGAATACCATCATACGGAAGTATACTAGACAAGGCAAATAATATTTGGTGTTTTAAAAGCTAAACAAAAACAATATGCGAGACAATTACTGGAATATAATAACAACAAAATAAATAGCATTAACTATTTTTTTATTGCATAAATTAAACCAGAATTGGAATAATTAACTTTTTGATTATTGAGTCAAAAAAAAAAAAATTATTGTTACTCTTAAAAACGTTAAGAAACGTCACAAGCGTGTGTGCGCTAAAGCGTGAATCTAGTGTAATTTTAAATATACACGCGGGGCTTTATATCTGATTTGCATAGCGGCTATATCAGAAAGCTTTTGTTGTCAAATAAAAAAATTGTCTGATTGCAGTTACAAAAATAATTTGTTAAATTCATTGTGTCTAAAGAATAGAGTTTAGGTCGCTTTTATATGCTTTCATAAAAAAGGTAAAATATGCTTTTATATAGCGATAGGCTTTCATATAGTAATATTAATACAAAAATAGTTTTTAATTGTGAACAATTTCTTTTATGTATTTTTTTTTTCCATGAAAGTTATATAGTTTTCTATTATGTAACAGAACATTTGATTGATGATAAAAATCATTCACTAAAAACCATTAAGTGAACATTATGTGAAAGTATTTTCATGATGTACATTTAAATCTAATGTTTTATATTTTTGTCTAAAAATTAACATTTATTAATTTCCAAATTTGTTATATAAATTTTTTTTTCCAAAAATATAATGCAAAATTTTCAATCAATATGTTTTCAATACGAGTTGCTCAAAATAGTTAGAACCATTAGCAAAAATAAATATTACGAGAATTATATTTTAGCTTTTTATAGGATTTTCATATAAGATTTACGTTTTTTATAAAGGAGTTAGGTTTCTATTTTTATTTTATTCTTTATTTAAAGATCTTGATCTAAAAAGAGGTTATGTTTTTTATTGTTATAGCGTGTGATCTACAATTTTGAACAAGCAGCTCTCTTTTTGCAGGTTTAAACTGCTATGAACGCAATGGTAACATCGCAAGCTAAACCTGAATTTATGACGCCACATACAACACAATTAGGTCTACATCAAAGTCAATCTCCAGCTCCCACAGTAGCTCCCACTTCCCCAAATCCATTAAATGGAGATATGTCTCACGTGAAAAGGCCGATGAATGCATTCATGGTAATAAAGTTTTGTTTGGAATTATTTTTTCACCGTTTTTGTTTTGATCATATATAGTATTATAAAACTTGTAACAACTAATAGCGTATTTCCAATTTTAAAAACAGGTTTTCCTCATTTCATGTTAAATAACATGAAATGCGGAAAACCTTGGGGTATCTCATGAAATGAGAAAAACTTTGGGGTATAACATATGAAAATACATTTTCATATGAAATATTTTATATATATATATATATATATATATATATATATATATATATATATATATATATATATATATATATATATATATATATATATATATATATATATATATATGTATATATATATGTATATATATATATATATATATATATATATATATATATATATATATATATATATATATATATATATATATATATATATATATATATATATATATATATATATATATATATATATATATATATATATATATATATATATATGTATACAGGTATAACATATGAAAATACATTTTCATATATTATACCCCGGCAAATTCAGAAAAAGTTACGCTTGATTTCTGTTGCGTGTTTAAAACTTTTTAAAACAAAAATAATAACACGTGTCAAAAATAGTTTTCATTCTGTGAAATTAACTATTTCTATTTACCATAAATACCAGTTAAAGTATTATTGGTTTCACCGTTACGGAAGCGTAGTATTATATTATAATAGCTTTCCGTAAGGAATGTGAAACCACAGATAAAAGCATGCGACGTTTAGTTTGACTTTAAAGCCTCAAATAAAACGTGTTAAACTTGAGTAAAACTGCCCGTAATATACACGTGTTTTTAGTTTACATCTGGTTCGAAAACGAAACTAGATGCGCAGGCTGGGAAATTAGAATCAAAAGACTTTCTTATTTTAAAACTTATTTAAGAATGTAATTTGTTGCGTTTATTACTGCAATTTTGATTTTAAAGTTTATTACTGCAATTTTGATTTTTTTTTTGTCTTTTTAAACATTACTGTAAATCGTTATCGAATAAAATCGTTGAGATAAAAAAAAATCATTGCACATTTAAAAATTAGTAAAAGATAAAACAAGTATGCAAGTAATTAATTTTGTAAAAAGACGCGGAGAATCTCAGAAGTCCATCTTGTCATCAAAAAACACTTGTAAATTAAAATTTTTATAACATTCCTTATTTATAGACACACAGCAAATTAATTAAACGTTTAAAAACGTAAAAATATATCATCAAAAGACAAAATAATTTCTTTAAGCTTATTCTTGAATGAAAGGTAACTCTATTATAGTGAAAATACAAAATTTGTTAAAACTATTTTATACCAAATAAAAACTCCGGTAAATGAAGTGCTTGATTTTTCAAAAATAGTTGCTGAATTAAATCATCATTTCTTAATTTGTATTTACTTTTATTTTTTAATGAGTTTGAGTTTGTGTATTTCAGAAATGATAAATATATTTCAACTATATATTTTAATGAGGAAGTGCTATACGCTTCCATGCTGATAAAAGAGCCGTGTCCGATCATTCTTATGTATTGAATTTCAGTTTGTTGATAATACCTTTGAACAAGTTGACTGAGTCAGCACCTTTGCCATCTGAATGTAGCGAATTCTTTTATATTACAATGCAATTAGTGAAGAAATTGAATCTTTCTTGTCATCGTTTTTTTACTTGAAATTCAAGTCTATGATATTGTCCTCGCATCTTGTGCAAATTAATGGCGCGTAGACTTGTTGGTTCTCGAAAATAACTATTTATATAATTTGGAAATTTCAAATTGATTCGATCTCTCCTTTTTATAGGTGTAGTTAATCCAAGTGTCGTAGTAATCCTAAGTGTAGTAAGTCAAGTAATCCTAGGTGTAGTTAATCCAAGTTGTCGGAATCTTTCTTCGTATCCTAATTGCTTTATTTCCGTTTTTGGTAGCTCTATGTTGTAATTGCTCGAACAGCAATATCTCCTAATGTGCAGACCAAGTTTAAGTAACAAATTCCAACTGAGGTCTCAAGTAGATTGTGTAGAGTACATACCACAAAAAGTGTCTGAGATTTCTGAAAACTTTCCCTAATATCGAAATCTTAATATTAAAAACAAAAAAAAAAAAACCTAAAAGTATCTACGCTTTTAACCTATTTATCTAACATTTTATGATATTTTTTTTAATTTAGTGTCTCCTTTCTTTTATAATTAACCCACTGCCCTCCCATCTCATATACGCCATTTGCAGACCCCTCTTCCCCTCCGAGCGTACGTACTTTATGGACGATCCCATACCGCAAAATTTATCATTTTAATTTTTTTCGTCTTTTCATAATCCACAGATCTGATCATTTAACGAAAATATGTCGTTGTCAACAAACATACAGACACTATAATAATTTAAGATTGCCTTAATTACACCGAGTAGCTGATCTCTTGTTTTTTTCTTTGGTTGTTATCAAGTTTTTCATTTAGCGATGTAAAGAACTCACTACTCAGAATGTTGTAATTTTTAGCGGTTTTTGTTTTTTTGTTTTTGATTTTGTATCAACGGCTGATGATTGCCGTATATGCATGAAACTTAGGTACCATTATGCACCATAGAAAACTTAAGTACCATTAAATAAGATTTTTTTTTTCATTGATATATTTAAATATAAATAGAATAATAATAATATATAAATATAATGAGACTATATATACTCCCCTCCCCCTCCCCCCCTCCCCCCCACACACTCACACACACACACTCACAAAGGATCTTATTTAGCTCTATTTAAATTTTTTTAAATTATTTTTTCTTATATATATAAATATGTATGTGTGTGCACATACGCGCACATTTTTTAATGTAAAATAACCAGATATTCAGGTAGAGGAAAGATGCCTATGATGGCATAGCGCCTATGATGGCATACTGGTCATATTTTTATGAATATTGGTTATGGTAAAAAAATGATTTGAACAACATGTCTATACTGACTTTATATTAGTTTTAGTAAAAATACGTCCCTTATGCACAAATATTGCTTTTATAATCAAGAAAAATTGATTTTGGGATGTGCAGTTGAACTTATAATCTCTTTAAATATTTAATATTGTGATTTTAATATTAACTGTGCAGAAATAATATTTTCATGCATTTTATTTCCAAGTTTTTTGCATTTAGTGGAATGCTTACTTTAATTTTATCTTTTGAACAAGGTAGACATAGCTTGTTTCAATGAAAATGATGACTTCTTCCTGTGATGGCATACTGGCGAGTTAGGTGTGTTGCAATATTGAGGAGTGGAGAAAACCTTTTTTTTTTTTTTTTTTTTTTTACATAAAAACAGCATACTTGGTTATTGAAGTTAAAAGGAATTTTTACTTCACTAAAAAATTTATGGTTCAAAAGACACATAAAACGCAATATCTCTCATGCGCATGCGCGAATTTTGACACTGCTGTTGTGTAGCACGAAAGAGTCAGTTAGGATGATTACGCGTAGTTTCTGGCATTTCTCAGGGAAGAATCTTAGGTCAAATGAAATTTTCAAGTTGTCTTTGGTGCTAACCAAGCTCATCCTCCCCTGTGCCATCATAGGAGCAGTAGTGGCCTATAATGGCATAATTGTGCTTTTTTTTTAAATAAAAATAACTAATAAAAAAATAAAACTGATGAAAACTTTTATTATTGCTCTACATGTAACAAAGAGTGTCAAAAATTTTGTTCTTGGTCTTCAGGATACTGAATAATGAAGCTTCAAAGTTAAGTATGCCATCATAGGCGCCTTTCCCCTATAGGGATTACGTTAAAGCAAAAGCTAATTTAAAGTGGTCAAAAGTGCTTTAAATAATAAATTTAAATAACAAAAAGCAAATTTAAATAACAAAAAACGAATTAAAATAACAAAAAAATATTTTTCTAACAGCTATAAATGCAAGTAAAATTTTTTAAGCCAGAAACATTTAAAAAATGTTTTAAATATAATTTTTTTTTTTAAAACATTTTATATGAAAAAATCTTTTATTTCTTCTTTAAACCTGAAAATGTAATAACTTTTTTGAAAAATAATAAATATAACATACTTTTACAACGGTTCGCTGCGTATTTTAAGCCAGCGTCAACGTTCAAACAATTTTGGGGTATGTTGGGGGTTACAAATTAAATCCAAAAATGTAAACTGATTTCAAATCAATATGTATGAGTTTATATTGAATTGGACAAAGTTGGGATGAGGGCAAAAGAGTTTTAGACTTAATTTCAAAAATTTAGGGACTTTTGAAACCAATCTGGCAATTATTACTTTTACATGGTTTTAATATCATTCCTCTTCACACGAATTCTTAAATGATGAATCTTGCAACTAATTATCTCCAAAGTTATCAAGTGGAAGCAGGATTCTGAATAATTACGTTTAAAAAAGTAAAAATGTTTCCATACTATTCATGTACATTTATTTTTGTCTGTACTTTAGTTATTTTAAAGTGACGAGTTGTATTAATTCAGAGCCTTAGAAAGAAAAATGCTGTGCATAAACTTTTGGGGTTTTAATAATTTTTAAGCAATGGAAATAAACTGTGTTGAGTACGTTTAAAAAATCTAGTTGTTTGTATTTTAAAACATTTCTAAACAATGTGTAGTTGTTACAATCATAATAAACGTAATAAATGTTTTTATGCGCTTTTATGAAACTAACAAAATTGTATCGCTTTAATTGAAGTTTTATCTAACCCGGGTGTTTGGGATTGATAAAATATAATCCTAGATTAAACTTTAGATTATAAGATAGATAATTAAATATAAATACGATATGCGTGAATATATATGATGGGGGTAAGAATTTTTAAATTTTTTTCTAAAATCATTTATTACAGTGGAGAATTAATAAAAAAAAGTGTTTTAAAAATAATTTTAATCAAAACTGATTGAAAAACTCTCTGCGCAAACTCGTTAATTTGAAATGCAAAAATTCGTTGTTTTATATGTAAACTAAAAGATTTGTTAAAAAAAAACATAGGGTAAAAAATTTACAT